ATTAATATTTGTTTTGTATAGTTGGGGGCATTCGTATTTGTTGCATATATATTTAGGATTGTCATCTCTTCCTCTTGGATTGTTCCTTTCATGCAGATGTAGTGACCATCTTTGTCTCTCTTAATTAGTTTTGGTTTAAAATCTACTTTGTGCGCAAATAAGATTGCTGCGCCTGCTTTTTTCTGGGTTCCTGTGGTGTGGAGAACTGTTTTCCATCCTTTTACTTTCAGTCTATGGATTTCCTTTTGCGTTAGGTGTATTTCTTGTATACCGCATATTGCTGGGTTTTGCTTTTTAATCCATTCTGTCTGTTTCTTTTGATTGGTGAATTGAGGCCATTAACATTGATAGTTATAATTGAGAGATATTGACTCATCCTTGTCATGATGCTTTACTTTTGTTGGCTCTTTTATTTCTTATTTTCCCCCCTTTTGCTTTAGTGTCTTACCTTGTGTGGTGCCTTCTCTCTGCTGGGCCTCACGGAGTTGTGACTTTCATTGTCTTTTTGTAGGCTATTGCTTAAAATTGTTTGGAGTGCTGGTTTGGTGCTCATGAAGTTTCTCACGTGTTCTTTGTTGTGAAAGTATCTAATTTCTCCACTGAGTTTGAAAGATAATTATGCCAGATACAACAGTCTAGGTTGGAAGTTATTTTCTTTTAGTGCTTGAAATACTTGACTCCAGGCTCTCCTTAATTTGAGGGTTTGTGTTGAGAAATCTGCCATGATTCTGATGGGCTTTCCTTTGTAGGTGATATGTTTCTTTTCTCTAACTGCCTGTAGAATTTTGTTCTTCTGTTGGGTTTCTGGAATCTTGACTATTATATGTCTATGTGTAGATTTTTTTTGGTCATGGCTGGTTGGAGTTCTATATGCCTCACTTATCTGTACGTCCAATTCTCTACCTCTCTCTGGGAAGTTTTCTACTATTACTTCTGTGAACAGTTTTTTTGTCAATTGTACTTTCTCCTGTTTTTTCGTGGACTCCTATGAGTCTTATGTTATTCTTCTTTGCATCATCCAGCAGCTGTTGGATTGATTTCTCATGATCCCTTACTATCTTTAAGAAATATCTGTTTTCATGGTCCTTAACTGCAATCCTGTCTTCTATATCTGATATTCTGTCTTCAGATTCTCTTAGTCTGCTCTGCATGCTTTCAGTGGAGTTTTTAATCTCTTGAATATCTGTTTGGATCTGTTTCACGGATTCCATTTCTTTCTTATGTTGGGTGATCATGTTTTCCATTTCTTTCTTATACTGGGCATTCATGGCTTCCAGCATGTTTCTGAGCTCATCTGTTTTCTTATCTGTTTCTGGTCTAGAGCTTCTAATCATGTCTTTCATTCTGCTCACCATGTCTGTATTTATCTGGGAGATTATTTCTGCTTTGAATTTTTCTAGAGCCTCATGCATCTGCTTTGTTACTTCCTGTGCTATCAGTTCAGGGTGTCCAAGTGGTTGCTTGTCAGACTTTTCCACCTTATTTCCCCCAGAATTTCCTTTTTGTGGCATGGAAGCCTGCGTTTGTGGCTTGCTTAAGTGTCTTCTCATTTTTGTCTTTGATACTGTCCTTGGTTTAATTCCTGGGTTGATATTTCAAAATTGCTTAATGTAGGTATCTTTATAGCTTGTGTTTAGAGCCCGTGTGGAATGATTGCTTTTCGGAGGTGTCTTCTAGATATAGCTTGTGTTTGGCTATTTTATTTTCCTTATACCAGGAAGGAAAACTAATTAGATCAATCACAACATGTTAGCCCAAAAGACATAGTCAGCAATACCACAGCATCAAGCACAGCTTAGAAAATGACAATTTGTGGTAGTTATTCATCTATCAATTTTAACTATATGAGTTAAATTAAAACCGAGGACCAACCTAACATAAGTTTATAATGAATAAGCTCTTCAATATAGCATCTTTCCCCTTCAGGTGGGGAGTTTAAAGGATTTGGGGAGGGAGGGACTGGTAGAAAGAACAGGTAAGATTAGCGGTGAGGCCCAAAGACACAGAAAGATCACACAAACTCTAAGAAGTTGTTAAAGGCAAGAGAAAATGGCAGAATGAAAGAACAAAGATGTGAATAGAATCACCTAACAGCAACAGGGTGGCTAGATATCAAATTTACTTTCCTTTAAACCTAATGATAATCAAGAGAAGGAAAAAGAGAAGAAAAAAAACAATAAGGGAGAAATCCGAATTCAGTGCAGAAAGGAACAAATGGGGAGATGAGAAGCAATGTGGGACAGCGAGAGAATGAGTGAGAGAGAGGGAAAAAAGATAAAAGAAAGAAAAGTAAGAAAAGTAAACTTTGAAGAGTAGATAGAAAGTAAAAATTAAGAATTGAAAATAGTAGAAAATAAAATTTTTTTTTTCTTTTTTGCAAATAGCACTAGAAATTATGGGCCTCCTTCAGGGTATGTCTCTGCTGTCACAGTAGGCAACGTAGGAATCCATGTGCCTGTACGAGTGAGTGAGTCTCAGCAAGCCAGCAGCAGACCAAGTACAGTGGTCTGATGTGCCATTATTGTAGAGATTCTCTTTACTTTTCCACTGAGCTTCAGTTTTCGTAGAGGAGCCTGAGAAGCCCTCTGTTACTAACTTCTGCTCTATCTTGTGGCACTCAGGACAAGGGTCTTTATAATCTCCTGTGCCTCTGTAGTGTGGTACCAGGTAGCAGAAAAGCCAGAAGGCCAGAGGTGCACGTCGCGGGGAGGGGGGAATTGGGCCTTGAAAGACACCCATGCGGCTAAGCAGACCTCACTGCGGCGTGGGCGGGGCCTGGGATAGCTTCAAACTGCTTCCTCTCACCTATCAGGTCCAGCTTAGAGAGCCTCCCTCCCAATTTAGATGTCCGGATTATTCTCTTTTCTACTTGGTTTGGATAGAATTTCCAGTACTGTAAAGAATAGGAGGGATTAGCACAGCATCCTCATCTTCTTCCAGATCTTAAACACTTTCAAATTTCCCTGTTCTTTATAGTGTTAGCAATGTTATGGCATTACAACTTAAGTCCATGGTACATTTACTTTTTTTTTTGGTGGTGAAAATAATGCGTATTTAGAATTAGCCAGCTGGACTCAGTTTAGATGATCCCAGTTTTGTTGGCAACATCCAAAGCATCATAATCAGGAGCCAGTTGAACATACACCTTCTCTCCATCAGGCCCGATTGACCTTGGCCACATCAATGTCCTAGAGCTTCTCCACAGCTTGTTTGGTCTGGTGCTTGTTGGCCTTGACATCTACAATCAATAGGAGTGTGTTGTTGTCCTCTATCTTCTTCATGGCTCACTCTTTTGTCAGGGGGAACTTGATGATGGCATAGTGGTCAAGCTTGTTTCTCCTGGGGGTGCTTTTCTGGAGGTATTTTGGCTGCTGCCAGAGCCACAGTGTCTTGGGATGGCGGAAGGTGGGTGACGTGCGGCTTTTCTTCTTTTTGTGGCTGTGGATGCCTTTCAGCACTGCTTTCTTGGCTTTCAAAGCTGTTGCTTTTGCTTCAGCTTTGGGAGGGGCAGGAGCTTCCTTCTTTGCCTTCGGTGCCATCTTGGTAAAAAGGGCCATGGTGCATTTAAAAATCTAAATAAATTTGTTAAAACCACTAAATATTCCATAAATGACAATTCTTAACTTCTGTTTCAATCACAAACCCACTAAGACCTTTGTATAAAAACATCATGAAGCCAAGGGTTGTAGTAACTGCCCGTTGTCTTATAACAACTGAACACAGTTGTATCCCTTGAAGAGAGAGAAGCAATTTTCTAAAGATACGAGGGCATCTATGTGTCCTGTCAAAGTCAATGCTTTGGAGTTCCAAGGATTCTAGCAAAATCAGACACTTCAGACTTTGGAAAAAATTGTAACTCAAGATTGGGCAAAAGTGCTTAGGGAGTTAAAATTCTAGAAACCAAGAGATCTCATGAAGAAGTAGTAAAGAGTCAATTCAGTTGATTTCTCATATGTTCTCTTGGGAATATATTGTGAGTAGCAAATTTTATTCTTACTGCCCAGATCAGTGTTCCATAGGGAAATCAGTTGCTCAGCAGTTGAAGTAACAATTGGAGATGTACCAAATTAGCAGACATAGGGGCTATAAATACATCCCCTGTACCTTCAGAGGGTACAGTCTTAGGTTGTATAGGGAAGATTTGTTAATTTTGGAGCCCTAATCCTGGATAGGGGACTGATGTTTCACTTTCTCCTTCCACCTTCTCTAGGGCAGAGCTTCAGTCTAAACCATCCAAAGAGAAACTCATACTTTTATACATGGGCCTTCTTCCCACACACTTTACAAGGTGAACTTGAGACCCTGGGAGGGACTGCAGAAAAGCTTAAGAAGAGAAAGTGACAAAATTTAACTGTGGTTACCTGAGAACCAAACTAACTAGCCTGACCCAAAGCAGACAGATCTGTTTGCTTACTTGATTAATTTACAACTTATCTTAAAGAGAAGTATCTCTTACACTCTGCAATGCATAGATCATTAGAGACTACTATGTAAGGGAATGAAGTCCAACTTGGATAAGACTAAATGAAGTAATGGTATAGAATATTTCCCATCAAATCAGAAAATGTCCAAGGAGTTTTGTAAGAAAGTAAGAAAATCCAGTATTAGATGTTGAGGGATGTGAAATGAAATAAAGTTATTTTTTCCTTTAATGTTTAACATGGAGTATTTTTGACCCTGTTCCTGAGTTCATTATGGAAATTGGAAATCAAACTATAATTCATACAAATATTACCTTGTAAGAACAGTTCCTGAGACAAATATTTCACTGCGTCTTCTCACATGCTTACCATTCACATGAATAAAATGTTTTATTTAATAGCTAAAGAGAAAACTAACAATCTTTATGTTGCAATTCCTTCATTGTGGCTGAGTCAGAATATTTTAGGGGTTATTAGACTTTTTCTCTTTGCAATTCAAAATTTTATTTTTTCTGTTTAAGAGAACTTAGAATTCCACATGGCTGACTACAGGAGGAGTCACATCGAAGAAGCATGGAAAGGATCCACTGTCAAAGAAGGTATTAAGAAGGTGGGAGAGGGCCAAGGATTTAGCTCAGTGGTGCTGCTGCCTGCCTAGCAAGCTGAAGGTCCTGAGTTTGATCCCTGGTACAAAAAAAAAAAAAAGAAGGTACAAAAAAAAGAAGGTGGGAGAGCCTCTAACACTGAAATGGAAAATTATTGAGAAAGATGAATTGATTAAGTGAAAAACAGACAATTGATAAAGGGAAGCAGCATGGCTAGGGCTGGTCTGCCTGCCACCACTACTCACTCCTCCAGAGACCAGCTATTCTCAACACTGACACAAAAAATTGGAGGGACCAAACAAGTGCTGCAAAGGCCAGATTCCTGAGAAAGACTGTATTTCCCACCCCCAGAAATTCCCCCACCTCCAGGCAGTGGGAAACAGTAATCCTGTGTTGCTTATTCCAGCACATATTGCAGGCAGCTGAGCCCCTCCTCCATAGACTCAGGCCAGAGATAGGATGCACTGGCAGGTACCCTAGTTGACTCTGCATAGCTCACGATCCTGCCTGCCTGGTCCATTGGTTGATTTGCCAGCTTGCACAAGCACAGCCACTAGCACTTGCCTGGGTGTTTGCCTTGCTCTGAGTGCCCACAGAGTCATGGGCAGGTGCACACAGACCAGCTAGGGCCCTCTCTGCAGGTCTGAAGGTTGGCTGAGTTGTGGCCAGTGTGTTACTGAGGAGTCTGTAGAGTAAGGTGCTGATCAGTTTCACACCAGGCACAGCCATCTTCTGCGGAACCCCCAACCAGTGCATGAAAGTAATTGAAGTCTCCTGAGGACACCCACTGGAGAGTATGCATAGGTGGAGCCCTAAGTTGACTTTTACTTGTCAGTAAATCTGCCAGCTGATTCCACAATCACACCCAGGGAGAGGAACAGGAAGTTTCTAATGGCAAAACTGGGTCAATGTCAGACTTACCTGGGCCAATGTCAGACAGTGCCTGCAACCTGGTGGAATGAAGTCCTGAAACTGGGTTAGTTTCAGTTTTGCAGTAGCAAACTCAGAGGTGATATTAGGGTATGAACACACAGGCTTTCTGGAATAGAGGTTACTGTGTCATGTTAGAGTATTGAAATTAAGCTCCCATTGGATATCTTCTAGGGGTGTGTGTGTGTGTGTGTGTGTGTGTGTGTGTGTGTGTGTGTGTGGTTATGGTTTTTTGTGTTTATTTGGTTTTTATTTTTGTTTTTTTTCTATTTCTTTTGATTTATTTGATGTCAAGTTCACTTCCCTCTTCTAATCTCCCTATCTAGTTACTTCACCTCAAGCCCACATATCAATACAATTAACATTGCTTAATTCTTTTTCTCAGCATATAATCTCTTCTGATTTTTTTAATTTGCCATATTATGCTCTCCCACAGTCACTATTATCTTCTGCAATATTAATCTGCAATGCTTCCCATCCTAATCCTTTTGTTCTTCTGTATGTTACTTAGCCCACTGTCCTCTCATATCTCTTTTCCACATTAGAGTTATTGCAACCTATCAACAGATTCCAGTAGTTACATAGCTTTCCTTCATCACAAAGTAAACCTTCCTCCTCCTGTATCTCACTTCTGCCCCACAAATATATTCTTAAAACCCTCAACACCAACTCTTCAACTCAAATAAAAGTACTCTAACAGAATCTGACCTTACATTAAATTTTCTTTTTTAGAACATCATTATCACCTCTACTAACCTCCTATTTTACTGTCTTATACTCTCCTTTCATCCATCTTTCAATGTCTTCCCTCCACTTCTACCTCATGGGAGAACAAATGCTAACAATAAATGAACGTAATCTACATAGAGGATAGATAAAGGATGAAAGTGTAAATGCAAGTTATATTATATATAAGTGATATATGATTGGATCTGTTGATGCCATTACAACTAGAAGTAACTTTTTCTGGAAAACCTAGGGACAGAGTCACAATCACTTAAATTAAATATCTAAAGGGGTAAATACTATCTTTGGACATATAAAGCTGACAATACATCATGGGGAGGCAGTACATTCCTAAAAATCATTATATAAAGTACAAGCTCTTCTGATCCTACTAGACCTTTGGTAGACCAGCACTACCAAATAAAAAGGAAAAAGTGGGGGTGGGGAATAAGAAACAGATCTGCATACACACAGGATTATGAAGGAGACAGCCTTGTTGATTATACCCAAAGCAGGCTATAAGCAGTGCAGTCTGTAAAGAGTTAACTCCACAATTGGCTTAAGTGAGTCCTACTGAAGAAGTGAGTCTTACTGAAGCCTCCATAACTCATAAGAGCATTACATGTGAGTCCTACTGAAGTGAGTCACTGAAGCCTACATGACTCATAAGAGCATCACATGTGCTTAAAGCATTTCTTTCTTTCTTTTTTAAAGGGAATGGGTTTATTTGACTTACAGTTCATAGATGTTTTAGTCCATAATCAGCTGGATCCAAGATAGGGATGGCACACAAGCATCATAGATGAGAATATGGCATGCACAAGTCAGTAAAGATAACGAGAGAGATTAACAGCATCTTTCTGCCTCTTTTATCTTATTCAGACTACAAGGGTATTGCCAAACTAATCATTCATGTGTAGCGGCTTAGTAATCACATGCCCTTAACCCCAGCATCACACATTCTAGATTCAACTACCTCTGAAATAGAAAGTCCCACCTCATCTGCATGAGGCTTTGGGGGGACATCTAAACACAAACCATAACATTCCACCCCTGGCCCCCCAAAGAGTCATCCATATTCCTTGATGCAAAAAAGCATTTAGTCCCTCTCTAAGAGTTGCCAAAGTCCTAATAGTTTCAGCATTGCTGAAAAAGTCCAAGTCCAAAATCTCTCGAGATTCAAAGCAAAGTTTTTGCTGCAAGCTCCTGTACAAATGAAAAGAAAGCTAAACATTTCCAACATTCAATGGCACAAGATAAACATTACCAATCCAAATGGTTCAAACAGGAGGATATAAAGGAATGAGACCAAAGTACATCCAAACTCCAGCAGGCCAAACATTACATTCTGCAGTTCCACTTCCAGCACCAGAGGCAATCTGGCAAGTTGTAAATGCCAGAGGGCTTGGTGGCTCTGCCCCTATGGCATTTCTGGTGGTTGTAGCTCCCATAGCTTCTCTCGGGCTGGCTCTGCTCCCTCTTTGCAGTTTCCCTCGGACTACCCACATTCATGGCTTCTCCAAACCACTGGGATCTCCACTGCACCTTCAGTTTCATACTCAGCTTCACACACTTCTCTCTGAGGAGCACCCTGCCTGGCCTCCCGGGCCTTCTGAAATCTGGGTGGAAGCCTTCCTGACTGCACAACTCTTGCATTCGGCATGCATCTAAAACCAAAGCTGTGTGGATGATGCTAAGGTTTGCTGCCAGCTGGAGTAGTAGTAGCAGTGGTAGCCAGTCTTTCCTCTCTCTTGGCTGTAGGAGTCCAAAGCCTATGAACCAAATCCTGAGGGATATCCCAGTAAAATGATTTAAAATGTTTTGAGTTTGGTCCAAAGAGAAGCTCCATTAAAGCAGTGGATTGCAAAAATAGAGTGGAGGAGACATTGATTGGTGAGAAGGAACAGGAGAATACAAAAAAAATGGCCTGAGGACATCACAAGAAGCAGAAAAACTTCACCCTTTGCAGCCTCAAAATTGCAAAAGTGAAGAACTTTGCTTTGAGAAGAGATCCCCAGGGTGCCATATTCCAGAATGGCAGTGGCCTAGGGAAGTTGTTGGTTCATAGGTACTGGACCACTACAGCCAAGAGAGAAGGAACCCTGGAAACTGCTCCAGCTGTCAGCAGACCTTAACACCAGACGTGGTGCTGGTTTTAGGCACATGCAGAATGTAAGAGTTGTGGGATCAGGAAGGCTTCCACACAGATTTTAGAAGAAGGACTGGGAGGCCAGGCAGTGTGCCTCTGAGAAGGCAGTGTGTGAAGCTCTGAGTGTGCAGCAGAATGTGCAGTGGAGACCGCAGACATTTGAAGAAGCCACGAACGTGGATCATCTGAGAAAAACTGCAAGGATGAAGAAGAGCTGGCCTCAGAGAGCAGCCATGGGAGCTTCAACAAACAGTGGACATGTGGAGCCACCCAAGCCTTTTGAAATTCACAACTTGCCACAGATTCCCAGGGATGCTGGAATGGAATTGTAAGATGTAGTGTTTGCCTTGCTGGATTTTGGATTTTGGTCCCAATCCTTTGCATTCCCTTATTTGTACCTTTTGGAATGGTAATCTCTATCTTGTGCCATTGAATGTTGTAAGTGTTTAACCTCCTTTTCATTTGTACAAGGGCTTGCAGCTAAGACTTTGGACTTAGACTTTTCAGCAGTGCTGAAACTTAGAATTTTGGCTACTCTTGGAGATGGACTAAATGCCTTTTGCATAAAGGGAAGTCCATGTGACTTTGGGGGTTCAGAGGCGGAATGTTATTACTTGTGTTTAGATGTCCCCCAAAACCTCATGTAGTCTTATGTAGAGCTTTTTCAGAGGTGGCTGAATCTAGAGCGTGTGATCGATTCATGGTGAAATGCTAGACCCAAGGGCACTAGGATTGAGGGTGTGAGTGCTGCCCACCCTAAGTATTCTGAATAAGCTAAAAGAGGCAGAAGGATGCTGTTAAGGTTACTAGTTGATTTTGCTGTCTTCTGCTGCCATGAACTGTTGCCCCTCTGCCACGTGCAACTCTGCCTTGGAGCCAGCTGATTATGGCCTGAAACTGCTACAACCTGTGAGCTAAAAAAACCTGTCCCTCTTTAAATTTGGGTGTTGGGCATTTTGTCTTAGCAAGGAGAAAATTAACTAAGACACTCCCCATCTACCAGCCCCAGTCTCCCACATCTGTTTTTCCGTCATCCACCCTGGGAACTTGGCCATGTGAAGCACCCAAGGGACTACTCTGGGACCCAAGTTCAAATGTCCAGTACCTCCCACCAGTGTTATCCCTGCCAGCTCTTGCTGCACGATTGTGGCTGGGGGGCTTGTACCGAGGTCACTCACCAACTGTTGGTTCTATAAGGCCACTCAGGAAGTACCGCCCCATGCTTTCCTTGCTGGTTCCAACTGCTGATGATTCTCTCAGTCCCAATGCAATTCTCTGGTGCTCTATGACCAAAAAGTTGGCCTCCCAGCTGAAGACTAGCCAGTCACTGTCAGTGGTACTGCATGGTCCCTCCTCAGCAGTGTGATCTATTTCTTCTGTATCTTGTAATCCTCTTTCCTTCTCCTTGTTCAGTTCTTTTGTGGTTCCCTGGCAACCTCTACTCACTTTTATTCTCTCCAAGCTATTTTCCAGACCTAGACACTTTGTCCTGGAGAAGCTGAGTTCCTGGCACTCACTGCTCTGCCATTTTGGGACTGAAAATATATTCTAAGGACCAAAAAAGTTTCCACATGTGCTCTGTAAATTTGCTTCCCTGGCTTGGTCAGCTGTGCTCACAACCTGTGTGGCCCAGGGTCCCAGGTCAAGGTGGTGTTTCTTTACATACAACATAGAAACTGTGTCTGCACCAGGTATTTTCTCTGCTGGTAAAAAGGGAAATATACCATCCCTGATGACCTCCCAGAAGTTCATTCTGAGGCAGAAACAAGATCAAGCACTGGGCAGCATTGTCAAAGGGGAGAGCATTTTTGCCATGCTCTGTGGCTGTATCCCAGTCCCACTTCTAACTCTTGTTGGCTATTTTGTAACACTTGAACCTGAGAAACTGCCACAGCTCATATACAAGTACATATCTGCAAAAGAAGGCAAATAGCAGGAGGCACAGTGTAACTATAATTTTGTCATGTGCTTTATTGTTCACAAATCACTTAAAATCCATTATATTCTTTGATTCTTACAAAAAACTGTATTTAGAGAAGGAATACCCATTTTCTTCCTATCTCCAGGATGAAAGTACACAAAGGATTTGCCTAGGACCAATTCTGAGGAAATTAGCAGAGCTAGGATTGTGATACAATTTCCTCTTGGTCTAATTCCTTGCATCTTTTCTCCCTCACCTTCATTCTGTCCCTTCCCACCTGTATGGGCACCAGAGGCTTCAGAGACATGCCATATCTTCTTTCTTTACTTTCACTTTCGTTCTCCACCATCATGCCCTCGGGATAGCACAGATGCGGTAGCTCTCTGGGGAAAGTGTAGCGCCCGTCCTAACCTTCAGAGTCAGCTTTTCATTCTTTGGGTGCTTGAAAGTAAATTTTTTCAGAAGAGAAGTGAAGAAAATAAAAAGCTCAGACCTAGCCAGCTGTTCTCCAAGGCATCCACGTTTTCCTGTGGGACAAAAACAAACAATTTATCTTTTCAGGTGGCACTGTTGCCTCTAGAAATTGGTATTCTCAACTCCCTCCAGCAAAATCTGACCCTGTGCTTTATATCTACCATTTTAGTTTTGTCTGACAACCACTTGAATTCACCAAAGGACAGAAATTGGAAATCCAGGATCACAAAGCCAAATGCTTTTACAGGTTAGCTGTGGGATAAAGAAACAGAGTACAGAATAATGGAAGTGGGAGGCCTGGGCTGACTCAGAGAGTGGGTATCTAGTTTGAAACCTTTCAAAACTCATGTAATAAACAATCACAGGAGCAGTCAATGAAATAACAACAACAATTTAATCTGTCTCAATTCTTAAAAGGAAACAGCAAAGTATAAACGACTAAATGACAGAGCAGGGCTCCTAACATCTAAGTCACTTCCCTATGCCCATTACCCTCCTCCATCGTGGGGACCCCCTAACATGCACAGCCCTCCAGATGGAACTGCCTCTTCCTTCCTCCTTGAGTTGTGTGTGTCTTGGCCAGGGCCTTTGCTTCCAATATGAGGGTTGAGCAGGGTCCTCTCCTCCATAGCTCACACTGGACACCACCCTGGCCACATCCCAATGCCTGCCATGTGAAGAACTGAAGGCAAAGGGATAGAAACTCAATTCTGAGGATATTAGAGGCCACCATGGTGAGGCAGTGATGGAAAGAAGGCTTGAATGGCAAATAAATCTTGTGTACAGCATTAGTAACCTTTGTAGCACCATATGTTTCAAAATACCCAACATGGGACTCTGATAAAACCACAGAAGCAGAGTAATTTGCGTGGTATGAGATACTGTAACCAAGAAAAATATCTAAGTAAGCCTTCTCACCTCATTCATGCTTAGTCAACTCAAAAATCACTGATTTTGGAGGTCACACGGATGCACAATACCTTAGTAAATTTTCCCTAGCTTTGCTGTAGATTATACTCCTGCTATGTAGGTTATAACAGTAGCCTAGGTTACTACCTAGAGACCTGAACATCCCATTTTCTGAAAACACCCTTCATTGAGCTCACAGATGTCTGATAGGTGACTAAAATGGGATAAAAGGATTCGTGTTTTCATATTGTATCTGTCGCTTTTGCTGTCTGAGCCCTTGTGTCCAATGCTACTTACCTCTGCACATAGACATGTTGATAATTTAAAAGTGTTTAGTCCATGGGGGAAGAGTTGAGAAGTGGAGGTGATAGGGAGGTGATTAATGTATATCACGTGCATGTGCAAATCTGCTAAAATGAAACACATTAATATGTGATAATAAAAAATAGGAAAATGGTTAGTCCAATGTTTTCATGCAGTGTTAACTTGTCCTATTGCACATGAGAGCTGGTATGCATTTCCCCTCTTTATATTTTTCATCTTATTTGCTACTACCTTGTGTTTCTTGAATAACTTGAATACCTCAAGTGCCTAATGTTCTTCAGCACCATCCTAGGGATATTTGGTGTGGGATGATGGTGTCACACAGAAATTTCACAGCCTCTGGGATGAGCTGACTATGACCATTTTGTGATCTAAGTCCATCAGAAAAGAATTGCCATTTGGAACTGTGCTCCTAGCCAAGTGAATCAGGGGACTTTAGCCCACCTGAGAACATCGATACAGTCCTGCTGTCCTCTGTTCTGTGAGAGTTGGTCACTCTCTTGACCAACTGATGATTCTCTTCAGCCAAAGCCCCACGTCAGCTGAGACCCCAAACTGCCTCCAATAAAGAAATGTCCATGCAGGAGTGTGTGTGTGCTTGCAGTGTTTGGCCCAGCCTCTTTCACCATGTCTGGTTCAAAAGCTCACATCATCTAGCACCATCTCTGGTCAGTTTGTCAGGATGATGTGTGAACACTGGACAGGAACTACTGCACCTGGACTTGCAGAAGCTGTCCCAGTGTGAACAACTGTGTGGCTGCCAGGATTCTCCTTTTCACAGAGTGGCTTCAGAGGGTTAGCATAACATAAAGGTTTTCTCTGTCAGTATTTTCCCTCTCTTCTGCTTCTTCTTGTATTAAACTAATTTGCTATTCAAGGTTACTTGGAAACCTGGTATCCACTCAGCTATAGCTAAAATGTAAACATCTGTGAATTAATTCGTAGACCAAAGAAAAAAAACATACAAGAAGCATATTAAAATCCAAATGGCCAAAAATCTTTTAACAGAGAGGAAACTTAGCATCTGACCATATGAATAAGTCTCAGTTGGCTTTATTTTATCATAAATACAATTTGAAGTCAACTTTAAAAAAATAGGTAAATTCCTTTTGTTATATCATCTAAGGTGGAATTTTAATGTCAGACTGGTTTGTGCCTCTATTGCAAGTAAAACAATTTGACTTTTAAGATTTTTCTTTGACACAGCAACATCGTGAAATGATCCTGTGCTTTTCTGATCTGTTTTCACAGTAATCTAGAAATATCTATTAAAACAAATATGTAAAGTAAATACAAATTGACAAATGTATATAAGCGATATCTTCATGTAAAGTCTAAAGGTTTATATGATGAAAATTAATCATTAAGTAAATTAGATTCTGAAACATTTGTTAAATATAAATTCAGGTAGTACTGACATCTAATAATTCTATAGGAATGATAATGTATTTGGGCCTATGAAATGTGTTTTCATAAATTCTTGGTATAATTAAAAACAGCATGTGAAGATTGCTTTCTTCTGACTATTTTGTAAAAAGTAAGGTCAATACTGTTAAAATTCTAATTAATATGTACAACTCTATATACAAAATAATCCAATGAAATTAGCCTGTTTTGATAAAACTATAAAAACATAAAGTACTTACTGTATTCTGTTTCTCTAAGTTTGAAACAATGATAGATTCTTAAAAGTATTGATCTGCTTTTAGTAAAGCTTGCAAGAACTGACTGAGACAGCAAAGATTCTTGGTTTTATCAAGTAAATCTTGTGATTACTGCCTCTTTCATTAGTTTTTGACTAACGTCAGAAAACCAAGCCTTAAAAATTGAGTTTTGCTTAAATTCTATTTTTTAAAAAGTCTTTTAAATGATTACTTTATAACTCTGGTTAAATCTAGTTACTATTATGTAACTATGCCACTGATATATGCTATTGGTATTAATACTAATATTGTAAAGATCTCATAAAATTTACAAAAACTGCTTGTCCTAGTGCAAAGCTATCAGTCATGATTGTGATCATAAAAATGGCATCAAGTGATGGTGAACTTTTTAGAGAGGAGTTCCCAAACTGCAACCCAAAACCCACTTATTCATCAGAAAGTGTCAACATAGCAATTAAACCTGAATATTGATGTTTTAGTTTAGAAAACACAACTCTTACATTAACACTTTTGGTCTTACAAGAAAACAAACAACACGCATGCTCCAGTTTCACAACTGCCATACACCATAAAAATAATTTAATTGTCCTGTCAATTGCTAAACTCACCTCAGTAATTTAAGCATGGTTATTCTTTTGTTATCTATAGTTTTACTTTGTCTCTAAAGCATTTGCAATCAGATTCAAAGAAAAGATTCTAACAAGTACTACAGACAAATTGTTTTTCCTTTAATTACTGCATGAATTTATCTTGTTCTTGTTGATTTTGTACTATGTGTTCCTTTTAAAATTTTGTAACTGTCACCTCTCAAAATTCTGGCTAAGTACCATTCATAGCAAAATGATCTTGCCCATTTTTCGAAGATACTAGCCATTAACTATACAACAGATGAGATTAAATTTAAGAATGGACTCCAGGTAAGCTTGGCCTAACTGCTGCTCCTTCCTCCTTATTGCTCCAATGTGCCTAAAAGGGTTATGACCCTGGCTTCCAACTGTCAATCACTTGCACTCCAACGGGGGACCACATCTCATCAATGATTGGAAGATCTATCCCCAAGGTGAGAGACATTGAAACAACTACAGGATGGTGGGTGAATGTCATCTTGGGTGAGATCTCACAGGCATGGTGGGAATAGCAGGAAAAGATAGAAGTTGTCAGAAACAAGATGGAATCACTTGCACTGGCCCTAACAAAATATAAATAGAGCCAAATAGTTATAAAGAAAGGGTTCTTATGCACAATTGCCTACAGATAACTATTCAAAAAGGCTCAGCAAAAATCATGGGTTTGTCCTCAGTCAATGTGAGTCTCATCTAACAGATTTGTCATTCAAATAATCTAGATCCTGGCTGGGGATTTAGCTCAGTGGTTCCACAGCCTGCCTGGCAAGTGCAAGGTCCTGAGTTCAATCCCTGGTACCAAAAACAAAAACAAAAAATCTAGATCCTAATCCAAAAATATTCATAGATAAAAGCAATTTTATGAGCAGGGATAATAAAAGAAACTACTGGTACACAATTGTCACTATGAAAAAAATAATCAAGGCTGGGACTTTTACTTCCTCTACCCTCAATTACATTTCTCATGTTTCTGCTTCTTATCTTTGGCCTATGCTTGTTTAATCTCCTTGCTAAGTTTGTGTCTTTGAGGTTCCAATGACTTCAAGCTAATGGTCACCCAGGGAATCCAAGCACTGTCACACCAAGAGCCAATGCCACTACCACTGTCCTCTTTAGATCAGGGAGTAAGAGTCCTTCCTAACCTCCAAGAACATGGTAGCAGTGTCCCTATGTCCTCTCACAACAGTTATAGGAGAAGAGACCTTTGGCTTTGGTTCCTGGAGAATGAGAAGCATAAATTTCTCGGGTAAGAATAAGACAATTAGGGACAACCTCATTGAGACAATGGTGAAATAGAAGCCTGGGATGACAGAGTAAACCCCGAGTACAGTAAACTATTAGCCTTTGTAGCATAGCATATTTGTTTCAACAGGCCTGTGACAAGCCTGATAAAATCATAGAAACAGAACATTTGCCTGAAATAAGAAATTGTTACCAAGAGAAAGAAAGAAAGAAAACCCAAATAAACCCTCTAGCTTCACTCAATCTTAGAGAAGTAAAAAATGTCTAATTTTGGAGGTCACAGAGCTGAGAAAGACATGATTAGCTTTCCACCAGTTTTGCCTCAGAGCATCTCTGATGTGCGGGTTGTGGTAACAGCTGCCTGATTTCCTTCCCAGGAACCGTCAGCTGCTTTAGCTGAGCGCACTGACCCAGCTTTGAACCTACAGACATCTGATGGGAGACTGAAATGGGATAAGAAGCTTGTCACCTCTGCATTCATACTGTGTCTAACCCTGGGCAGGTTCTACTCAGACATGTGCACACGGACATGTTTGTTATTTAAAAATATTTAGTCCAAGGGTGAATACGGGTTTAACTTGGCTACTGCCCATGGGAAGTGGTATCCGCTTTCTTTTTCTCTCCCCTCTTTCCTATGCCTGCCCTTGGGTTCTTCAGCCGGCACAGGAGCCCAAGCATGTGAAGCACTTTATGCTGGGAACCAGACCCACAAGGCCTGGATGTTTTGCATAGAAGGATAACTCAGATAAACAAAAATTCCACAGCTGCTAGGGGAAGCTGACTACAACCATCTGTTGGTCCATGACTGTCAAAAAACAAAATCAAATCAAATCTTTTGAAAACATTACCCTAACTAATTTGTAAATTTCAGCTCATCCCAGAAAATTAATAAAAAAGCGCCACTTTCTTTGTTCCACAACTGTTGATTTACTTCTGCCAATTCATCTAAAGTGACGCCCCTCTGTCCCCATGAAGCTTTTCCTGTGCAGGTGTGTGTCTGTTTGCAATGTGTGGCCCAGTCTCATTTCCACCGTCTCTGGGTCAAAAGCTCCTGTGGTCTGGTGCCCACCTTCTATCCCTGTGACTGAAGCCAGCAACATAACCTTTAGCCTTTGCGAAAATGTGTAATGTGTATGTTTATGATAAGAACCACAGTACATAATTTGGAGGATAGAGGGGCAATTCACATAAGCCCGTGATTTAACAATTTGTACAGCAAATGAAGTCTTTCAAAGTGTCACTCAGACAGAGCCAGATGTGGTGTGGTGCTGGATCCCTGTAATCCCAGCACTGTGGGATGCTGAGGCTGAAGATTGCAAGTTCAAGCCCAACCTTGGCAGCTCACTTAGTCAGACCTTGTCTCAAAAATAGGTAAATATCAAAGGGCTGAAAATGTAGCTCAATGCAACAGCCTTGGATTCAATCCTTTGTGCTGCTTCCTCCCAAAAGTGGCCCTTGGACAGTAACAAACATTCTAGGCATTTGGTAGCTCACATTAAGCTGATCATATTCATTCTAAAAACCAGTATAGTATACGATTTAAAACATGACCTTGAATTAAACATTCTGAATGGCAGCCTAACTACAACAATTTTCTGCACATTTTAATTCTTTCTTTATCCCCATTAAGTTTATTGGTACATTTTAGGTATAAAATACAGTTACATTCATCATTGGGATCTTGTACCGTTACATGAGTCTCTTGGTTCTTATTTTTTTTCCCCTTCC